GTGTGTCTGTCTGTCAGTTTGTGTGTGTGTGTGTGTTTGTATGACAGTGGGTGTTTGTCTGTCAGTGTGTTTGTTTGTCAGTGAGTGTTTCTGTGAGGGAGTGAGTTTTTGTGTGTGTGTGTGTACATCTCTCAATGTGTGTCTGTCAGTGAATGTGTGTGTATGTCTGTCAATGTGTGTTTGTCAGTGAATCCGTGTGTGTGTGTGTGTCTGCCAGTGAGTGTATGTCAGTGTATCTGAGAGTGTTTCCCGGTCAGTGAGTGGGTGTGTCTGTGTGTATGACCGTTAAAGCGTGTGTTAGTCTTTAACAGGAAGGGGTGGGGCAAATTTAAGTTAAACTTCCGTCATGCCTAGGGCAGCACAAATTAAAAATACACCTGGCCACATCCCATTATTTATTTCAAAGTCTCCCACCAAATGTCCATGGGTGGGGGCACCAGGCAGGGCACTATGCCATGTTGCTAATTTTAAAAGTTAAGTAGATATACCCCATCTTGGAATATCTGATGGCAGTGAGATTTTTAAAACTTCCATTATAGAATAATAAAATGGTTCTTATTGACCCCCATTTTTTCCTTGTTTTTAATCCATTTTAACTTATTTAATGTGTCGCTGGCTAACAAGCGCTGGCCAGCAGCCACAAAATTGACCCTTGCAGCATTGAGGGTTATTTAAAATGTTATTCGCTGGCTAGCACTGCCTGCAGGTAAACAGCACATCAAATTTATTGATCACTTGCATGTTCTTTGTGAAATTGGATGAGAAAGCACCAATTTAATTCAGACTCTAAATGCACCCGGCAGATTGCTACGGATTCGCTCGGCCAAACCAAATTCCAACAGTGTTTGGCTTCAGTAAATATGAGAATTGCCTTCGGGTCAGAATTTGGTCACTTCCACCAGATTTTCTCCATCCAGATAAAGTTAATTGTTTAGAGACTTACTAGGCCAGTGTCTCAATGTCGGGGTGAAACCTAAAACTGTTCAAATAACGTTACAGAGCCTTAATTGTACAGCGCTACGGAATTTGTTGGCGTTATATAAATAATAAAATATCAGACATATATCAACTTGTTCTCCTGATCCTGAATAAAGCTCCTTCCTGTTTGGAGTTCTCTGTGAAGCTTTTGGAATTTTATTTTGAATACTTCTGAGGGACTGCGGAAACAATCCATGATGCACACTGTCAAATTATTAATGTGAAAAAATGGTTTTACTAAATATCATTCAGTGTTTAACCCCTTAAGACCGGAGGGCGTACTATTACGCCCTATTTTAGGCGGCTCTAAACGCCGCCGGGCGTAATAGTACGCCCTCCGGTCTTTCATTACTTACCCGGTCGCTGGCGATCGCAGTTGGGGGGACCCCCAGGGAGCCCCCCGCGGCACGTCCGACCCCCTGCCATGTGAGAGTGAGGTCTTTGTGAGGACCTCACAATCACATGGCCGGGATAGCTGGCTGCAGCATTGCCAGCATGGGGGCTGCCTGTAATGACAGGTGGTCCCCCTGCTGGCTGGAAATAAAATTTCAAAAAAGTAAAAAAAAAAATAATATATACTTAGATTATATATATATATACATACACACACGTACACTGTCTAGGTGTATTTTACTATTAATATATATAATTATATATATTAATATCAAATTACACGTAGACTGATACTGATTAAATATATACAATTATTGTTATATATATATATATATATATATATATAATAAAAAAATTAAATATGTAAATACGTTAAAAAATTAAATTAAAAACATTAAAAAATATATAGATGTGTGTTAATTTGTTCTAACTGTATTGTGATATTAATATATATTTATATCAAAATACACGTAGAACGAAATAATATATATCACTATATATATACCTATATATAAATAAAAATATTAAAAATTATAAAAAAATTAAATTATATTTTTACAAATTATATATATACATATATATATATATATATATATATATATATATATATATATATAAAAATATAGTGAACAAGAGGCAAGCAAATGTAACGTGCTATATTTGACCCTGTAACTTCCCAAAACGCCATAAAACCTGTACATAGGGGGTGCTGTTTTACACGTGAGACATCGCTGAATACAAATATGTGTATTTTATTGCGGTAAAAGCAAACAGTATTATGACATTGACAGTTAAAATGTCATGTAGAACTAAAAAAATTTAAAAAAATATTTTCTCACATTTTTTTCATATTAAATTATGTTTCATAGCTAAATATTTGATATTAAATGAAAGCCCTGTTTCCCCTGAATAAAATGATATATAATAAGGGTGGGTGTATTTACTATGAAAGAGGTGAATTACGGTTGGACAGACATGTAGCGCAAATGCCAGGTTTTGTTTACATTTTTTTTCGTTCACAACGTGTACATTTGCCTCCGTCCTTAAGGGGTTAATTGTTAAATAACTGTTTAATAAATTTGTCGTATTTATGAAATCCATAAAGGAGACACACATTTAATCCTCATTCTTACTTTCAACCATTTCAATCCGTAAAGAACCATGTACCCAGAATTATCCAGAAATGAATACTAGCTCGTAGAGTCAGGAAATCTCTGCCATTTAATACTGTAAATTGGTTATAAATGACAGCCCCCTTCTTCTTCCAAACTGTAATGGAAACTGATTGCTCTCCTCCAGTTAGCTAAGCACGGCATTAGGAGCCTCCAGCTCTCCAGTGATTGTAGTGGAGGTTGTGAGCGATGCCCTGTGATCCCTAGGTATCGTCAAACCGCTCATAAATCCAATGACTCCTTAAAATAAGAGAGAGTTGGAGCCTCATTTAAAAACTTACTGAATGCCAGCTCTCTCTTACTGAATGACCCTACTTGTTTTTACATCCTCTGGTTTTTATTTCTCTTCCTTTTGTCTTTTCAATTACATATTCTTTGTTTTAGGAAATCTCGATTTAATGAATTCTCCAAGGTCTTATGTTTCCTCCTCAGAGTATGATGATGTCAGCTCCATCCCTTCAAGTAAGAACTACATCTGCTATGAAATCATTAACTGTGTTAGAGAAATGTGAAGGGTCTGTTGAGAGATGGGTTATACCTGAGAGATAAATGGAAGGTCTAGTGAGAATTGGGTTGTACCTGAGAGACATTGGAGAGTCTGGTGAGGGTTGGGTTGTACCTGAGAGACAGTGGAGGGTCTGGTGAGGGTTAGGTTGTACCTGAGAGACATTGGAGGGTCTGGTGAGGGTTGGGTTATATCTGAGAGACAGTGGAGGGTCTGTTGATATTTGGGTTATACATGAGAGACAGTGGAGGGTCTGGTGAGGGTTGGATTATATCTGAGAGACAGTGGAGGGTCTGGTGAGGGTTGGGTTATACCTGAAAGACAATGGAGGGTCTGGTGAGGGTTGGGTTATATCTGAGAGGTAGATGGAAGGTCTAGCGAGAATTAGGCTCTGTAGCAGAGTTTGGTGAGGTTTTGGCAATATAGAAGAGATTAGTGAGGGTCTGGTGAAGGATGGGTTATATCTGAGAGACAGAGGGTCTGGTGAGGATTTAGCTATATCTTAGAGATGGGTGCAGCAGAGTTTGGTGAGGGATTGGCAACATAGAAGAGATGAGGTGAGGGCCTGGTGAAGGTTGGATTATATCTGAAAGACGGGTGGAGATAATGGTTAAATTAAATGTGAGGGATGGGTGGAGGGTTTGGTGATGTTTGGGTTATATCTGAGAGACGGGTGAAAGGTGGTGGTAAGGTTTGGGTTATATGTGAGAACCTCCAAATACTGCCCACAGGAATACACATACAGACACAAACACACACACTGATACAAAAGGACACCGATACATACTAACAGACACACATACTGAAACAGACATACACGCATACATACTGACACACACATACTGAGACATACACACAGGCATACATAGTGACAGACAGACACATACTAACATACATACAGACACACATGCATGAGGACATAAAGACACATACATACAGACACCGACATACATACATACATACACACATTCATACATACAGACATCCTGACAGACATACACACATACATTCATAATGGTATACAGACATACATGCACACTTACAGACATACATACACAGACAGACAGACATACATACAGACACACACAGCTCATTTTCCAGCCACCCTCCTGTCTCTTACCTTTTCTTTGCAGGAGGGTGACTGGGGATGATGGGAGTCGGCGCGGCTCCCTCTTCACTGCCTGGCTCTTCCTTTTCACTAAATAATCACCTCTGGATTAGTAAAATATTGAACCTTGTTATCATATAGGTAATGTATCTGATGGAATCAAGACCTATAAATATAAATAATACAACATAGTATAGATTGTACAAATGCAGGATATATATAAATAAAAATATGGATCATAAAAACTCACAAACATAGAGCTAAAAACCTAGCTCTGTTATGAATAGCTTCCGGGTCCGTACAGGCGACCCACCCCTACAGGGAATATGTGTTCTGTCCTGGGGGAGATATATAAAACGCAAACATAGGGTAGCAAGGTTGATGGTAAAATAGTATACAATCGGGTTGCCAAGTGGCTACTTACATACATAGAGCCCCTATGGCTCTATCGTAGCGTATTTTGTAGTTAGGAACTGCACTCCCTTGTAGGTAGTAAGCAGTAGTGGAAAACTGGAAGCAAGGATAAAAGTATAGATTTTATTTAACAATTATAAAAACATTAAAGGGACAATGTCCATGTAAAATACCGGAACGCGTTTCACTACTGTTTGTAGCTTCCTTGCCCGGGTGTATAATTCAATCATCCTTAGTTCCACACTGCTTATTTATATACCCTCTAAATTGGGTGAATGGTTGCTGGTGAGTTTCCACTGCCACGTAATTACCATTTACCGGTAAAACGTATGTGGTCCAAGCCTCCATATGGTACCTTATGTTAAATGACTGACGGACACTCTCACCTGGTTAACCTGGATGTATTCCTGTGAGTCCAAGCCTTTTCTTGGGATAATGACAGTTTTTAATGAATCTAATAAACCTCACTCGCTTCATGGAGGATAATACCTCTATTTTTACCTGGAGTTCATATGCACATATCAATCTGTTTTATCGTTCTTACATGTGCTCGCAAATAGCAGGTGCATGTTCATAAATCGTCAAAGGGGTACATAGAAGAAAAGAGAGAACAGAAAATCTGAGAAGACTTTTCTGTTTCTATTAAACTATATTCTTAAACCTGTTGCTATTTGTTATACAGTGTGACACCCCCATACAGAACACACAATCCTTCCCCTCTGCCTGAGAGATAATTAAGTCAATTGCTGTATCAACTCAATTATCTCCAGGCGAAAAGGAACATCATTTATAGACAATCTGAAAGTACCCCAAAAACACATCATATCCCCATAAAAGGTGTATCCCCTGATAGCCCCGATCTGGGTGAGCAACATATCTAAAAATCACCCAGATCGATTCAGGGGTTCGGGATTCGTATGGAAGTCTTATTTCTGACCGACCGCACACGAGGCTCCTGCCCAGAATAGTTTCATAGAATCAGACTGTGTGGTTATATTTCATGGGTTTCAAATATAACAAAATGACCAGAATAACTGTTCGTGGGAAAGCTAGCCGTGTCCCCCTTGTTCCCCTTGTTCAGGAGTTAGTTTCACCGAACACTGCCTCTTTTGGATGCATTGGAACGAAACTAGGTGATCCTGGAAGTCTCGGTGTTCGGGCCGTTGAGTTTCCAAAATAGTTCCATACACTCGACGACCAAACACCGCTGGACGCGTTCGACAAAACAAGATGGCCGCCACCACGTGTTTCTGCATACGAATCGACGGCCACCCAGTGAACCACTTAGAACGTTTAGAGCAAGTGGTTAAATGGTCAATTGGGTCAACTGGCGACACACGACTGCTTTGGGTGGTCCAAGGGTTCGGTACAATATTCGGTATACGAACCAGCTGGGGCAAACCTGTTTGGTTGGGTTCATATACCGATCCAGGCAAACATAAAAGTAATATCCAGGAACAGGGCATCTGTTACTGTACCTTTCCGAGGAAGTGTGATTTTTGAATATCAGAGCCCAAACATAGTGTTAGATTATCATTTGTATTTAAACTATAAATGTTTTATTGCATTGGTTGAGTGATAAGATTATGTAAATCTATGTGTCCACGCTTGGAGAATAGAGGGATTGTAAGCAGGGGAACAGAAGGATATAAGCCTGGGTAATGAAGGGGTAGGAAAGTTAATGTTTGGAGGGATGGGCATTGGGCAACCTGTTAATGGAGGATAGGAAAAGCTGGTGAAGCTGACTCAAAATGGAAGCTGCATCAGGGAAAGTGAATGTCTGTGAAATCCACCCTAGCAGTCTATGACAGTCCTAAAAAGACAGACCAGTAGGCAGGCCATCTTTTAGAGAATCCATAATTGCCACCAGAAAAGGGACATTGGGGATATCAGGCGGCAATTGGGTTGATTTAAGCATTTCATACCATTTAATCAAATTCTTAGTTGTTTTAAATAAATGACCATAAATCTGGTCTTTCTTTTTTTTTTTTTTTCTCTCGCTACCAATGCTTGGGGTTTCAATTTGTAATCAGCAACGCCCCACTAGCATAGGCATGCACACGGGGTGTGCCTGGGCACTCCCTAATCCCCGCGGCACGCCTATGGATTGAGTCCTGCAGAAACAGAGTTCCTGCACTTTTTTTTGAGCAGGAACACTGTTCCTGCAGGCACTCAGCGCCCCCAAATGCTACCCTTCCTTCCCCCCGTGTTCCCCCTGTCATGGGGGGGGCAAGGTGATGGATGCCCCCACTCTCTCCATATCACAAGTGACGAGGGAGTTGTGTCCTCTCTGCTCCCTCGCGCCGTTTGCTGATGCCGGGAGCCGGAATATAACGTCATGTTCCGGCTCCCAGCTACTGTAGACAGCCCGCGCGACGAGAGGGAGCAGAGAGGACACAGCTCCCTCGCCGCTTGTGATATGGAGATAGGCGCCCGACCCACTGGACCCCAGGGACAAGTCCACGCCAGCTCTCCAGGTAGGTAGGCTGGGTGGACATTTTTTAATTAAAAAACATGGCAACATTTCATTCTTTGTGTGTTATTAGTTTAAGCAGACTGTGATTGTCTATTGTTGTGACTTAGATGATGATCAGATCACATTTTATGACCAATTTGTGCAGAAATCCATATCATTCCAAAGGGTTCACATACTTTTTCTTGCAACTGTGTGTGTGTATATATATATACACACACACATACACACACAAGTGTATATTATTTATTTTTTGGTGGTGGGGGGGGGGTGGTTTCCCACACATTATTCAACAGGACTTGTACCCTGCCGGTGCTATCCGAGTGCCGGCTCTGCTCTAAGCCCCCATGGGCCGGCGGGGAGATCAAAGATCTACCTCACCGGCCCACAGCAGCATTGAGGGAGGCAGGAGAGGACCCAGGTAGCTCTAGACAGCAGCTCCGCCAGGTTCCTCTCGTAAGATCTGAGCGTTGCCATGGCTTCACTCTCCACTGTACCACCAGGGATGGCACATGGCAGCAAGGATCCCCCCTCCCTACATAAGGTCAGAAGGGAGGGGAGATATTTACTAATCTGCCTCCACAATCCTTCCAAGCATACAGCACACACACACATACAGCACCCACACACACACAGCACACAAACAGCACCCACACACACAGCACACTAACCGCACCCTCAAAAACACACAACACCCTCACACACAGCACACTAACAGCACCCTCACAAACAGCACCCTCACAAATACATGACACACACAAACAGCACCCTTACACACACATTACCCTCACGGAACCCTAACAAACACCCTCACACACAGCACACTACAAGCACCATCACACACAAATATCACCCTCACAAACCCACACACACAACACCCTCACCCACACATCACACTAACAGCACACACACACAGCACCCTCACACACACAGCAGTGTATGTATGTATGTGTGTGTGTATGTATATATATATATATATATATATACACACACACACATATACATGTGGCGTGTGTTTGTGCTTTAGGGTGCTCACCCTAATGCAATGGGCTGCGCACGCCTAAGCCCACCAGATAATTATTTTCAGAATATATAGACAGGGAGACAATTGCCACTGGTAAAACAGTAAATTACTGACGTTGGTGACATGGTTTAATTTCCATTATAAATGACAAACATACCCAATACAGCACTACAGTGCTATAACTTTTCCTAATTTTCTTCCAAAACTACTGATAATGACCGTCTGGATAAGCTGTTAAGGGTACCTGGGAATGTGTGATATTTAGGTTGTTTTTTAAATCTGTCCAACCATAAATCACCTCATAGATGCTCAGTATTCGATCACCACAGAGGTGATCTTTTTAACTGACCCATTTAATCTCCAGCAGGTCGTCTGAATTGGACACCCAATGTGTGATAGTTAAAAAGTTTTAAAACCTCATTGACAAACAGTACTTATATAAAGTGGATGAAGTGCTTTGAATATCTAATGCAAAGGTTGTATGTTCGATTCCGGAGGACAGTTTTTAGCTAATTCTATGCACATGTGTTTCAGGGATTTTGACGTGCCTTTTTCTGCTCATTAAGTTTCCATGAGTGTAATGTAGCTAATAAATTTATATTAGCTTAAAATACTTAGTGAATACCCTTATTGCAATTTGGATAAACTTCATTAATCTCACTTATTGAGTTTCTGTGGAGTTATTATGCAATAGTGAATATATTCACATTATTATTGGTGGATCCATGTAAACTAATATTTTTACTGCATGTAATATCTCAATCAATGTTTGTTTTTATCTGAAAAACCAAATGTTGAAATAAAACCTATATCTGCCCATGACAATATTTAAGTCACCAACGCAAACAATCCAGCTCTTAGACACTAGAATCCACTGTAACAACACATAAATAGAGCTCAATTTCAATACCAGCACTAAGTGCGTAGGGTGTTACTGTATCACCCAATATGAAACCTGTTTGCTTTCTATATATGTGTTTGTGACAGACCCATCCGTATGGACTAAAAGTACTGTGTTCATCTGTTTTGCCGTTTGCATGAATTCCCCCATTCGTATGCCTCGTTTAAGGGAATGTATTTTTTTTGTCGAACGGAACTACCGAACGGCCGGCCACCCAGAAGAGAAGTGTGCTGCTGGTTAACCTATTGATCCCAATTAGAACGTTGCGGTTAACCACAGAAACTTCTTAATTAAAACCGAATACCGGGTGGTCGTCGTTCGGATGTCGAACACGAGGCAACGGCCATTTTGACTATGCGAAAGCCCAGCGGTGCTCGATTATTTCATGGAACTCAAAACGGACACTTTTCCAACCAAACACCGCTGAAGCCGTCGACCTCCCCTTCTCAATGGACAAAAGCATACGAATACCGGCCGTTCGGGAGATTTAACAACACGAATGGACTTACCCCAGATAGCCTTCCCATGGAGTCAATCGCATACCGAAGAACTGTAATAGACTTTGACTCCATGGCGATTAAACTGTGCGTATGGGATCTGAGCGCTATTCGCCAATAATATGCACTCAGATCCAGGCTATCTGGGGATGTGTTACACGAATGCAATATGTTCGGCAGTTATAAAGTTCTGTATTTTAATGTGTTTTGTAACTTTGAGTTAAAATGGCGATTTGCCTCTGCTCTGGGAGATAATTGAATTACTTCCCAATTATCTCCTGAGCAGAGGGGAGGAAACTGTGATGCATGCTGGGAATATTGTGGGGATGTATGTCCAAAATGTCCCCATGTCCTTCTGTAATTCCAGTCTCCCATTTGGTCCCCTAGGGGAGTGTCCACCAAGTGGGAGACCTGCATAAATACGGGCAGGTAGCCCACAGTAAACTCAGTTCGTGTTTTACCCTCAAAGCGGAGCTTGGTCTCGTTATTGGGGGGGATTTTATTACCGGCAACGAGAGACTGCTTATTGGGATTATTGGCCGCTTGGAAACTATTGCCGTTTGGCTGCTATTAGCGATTCGTGTATTTGGAGCTCGTGAAGGGAAGGAGCCTGTACGGGAGTTTAGAGTGTTCCCTAGCTGGCGGTTCGCATGGTTGTACTGCATACGCTACCAGACCACATTATTGCGAACGGGGAGCATTCACTAAACGGCGGTTTGTACATTTATTACTGGAGGTACCGTAACAGTGTTGCTCATCTCAGCTCTGTGTGTGTCTGACGAAAATGTGTTCCTCAAACCCCAGCATTGTGTACCTTCTGGAAATGTTACCCCCAGTCCCAGCATTGTGTGTACCTTCTGGAAATGTTACCCCCAGTCCCAGCATTGTGTGTGCCTTCTGGAAATGTTTCCCCCATTCCCAGCATTGTGTATGCCTTCTGGAAATGTTACCCCCAGTCCCAGCACTGTGTGTGCCTTCTGGAAATGTTCCCCCAGTCCCAGCACTGTGTGAGTCTTCTGGAAATGTTCCCCCAGTCCCAGCACTGTGTGTGTCTTCTGGAAATGTTTCCCCCATTCCCAACACTGTGTGTGCCTTCTGGAAATGTTACCCCCAGTCCCAGCATTGTGTGTGCCTTCTGGAAATGTTTCCCCCAGTCCCAGCACTGTGTGTACCTTCTGGAAATGTTACCCCCTGTTACGGTACTTCCAGTAATAAATGTACAAACCGCCGTTTAGTGAATGCTCCCCGTTCGCAATACTGTGGTCTGGTAGCGTATGCAGTATAATCATGCGAACCGCCAGCTAGGGAACACTCCAAACTCCCGAACGGTACCTGTATGGCTCTTTCCCTTCACGAGCTCCAAATACACGAACTGCCAATATTAGCCGAACACCAATATCTTCCAAGCGGCCAATAATTCCAGTAAGCAGTCTCTCGTCGCCGGTAAAAAAATCCCCCAATAACGAGACCAAGCTCCGCTTTGAGGGTAAAACACGAACTGAGTTTAGTGGGGGCTACCTGCCCGTATTTATGCAGGTCTCCCACTTGGTGGACACTCCCCTAGAGGACCAAATGGGAGACTGAAATGACAGAAGGACATGGGGACATTCTGGACATACATCCCCCTAATATTCCCAGCATGCATCACAGTTTCCTCCCCTCTGCTCGGGAGATAATTGGGAAGTAATTCAATTATCTCCCAGAGCAGAGGCAAATCGCCATTTAAATACAAGTCACAAAATACATAAAAATATATAACTTTATAACTGCTGAACATATTGCATTCGTGTAACACATCCCCAGATAGCCTGGATCTGAGTGCATATTATTGGCGAATAGCGCTCAGATCCCATTCGCATAGTTCAATCGCCATGGAGTCAAAGTCTATTACAGTTCTTCGGTATGCGATTGTTAAGACACCTCCAGTGTCTTTAGGCAAAACCGCCGTTTAGTAGACCTTCCTCGTCTGCAGTAACAGTAACTCCGTTTGCTTAATCTGTAGTATACGAACCAAATGCAGGGGAAGCGGCAATCTCCCGACCGAGATCCGTGAACGGCTCCAAACTCCCGAACGGCAATACACGAACTGCTGCTAGCCGCCGAACAACAATATTCACCGAGTGGCTTCCGTTCCATCCAGCAGTCTCTAAACGTGAAGAAGAACTCCCCCCAATAACGAGACAGAAACTCCGCATTTAGGGTCAAACAGGATCTGGCTTTACTGTGGGCTACCTGCCCGTATTTATGCAGGTCTCCCACTTGGTGGACACTCCCCTAGCGGACCAAATGGGAGACTGGAATTACAGATGGACATAAAGACATTCCAGACATACAGTCACAGCTTTTACCCACAGTGCATTATGATTCCCTCCCCTCTGCCCTGGAGTTAATTACCAAGTAACTCAATTAACTCCAGGACAAAGCCAGTCGCCTTCCTAAATATAAAATCATAAAAGACATAAAAATGCATAACTTCATAATAACCGAACATTTCCCATTCGTATCACATATCCCCAGATAGCCTGGATCTGAGTGCATATTATTAGCGAATAGCGCTCAGATCCCACACACATAGTTCAATCGCCATGGAGTCAAAGTTCTTACAGTCTTTCGGTATACGAATGACTCCATGGGAAGGCTATCTGGGTTAAGTCTTTTCGTATGCTCCTAATCTCCCGAACGGCCGGTATTCGTATGCTTTCGTGGAGGCAGCCAGGCGTTCCGTTGTTTCAGCGGTGTTCGGCAGAAAAAGTGTCCGTTTTTAGTTCCATAGAAATAGAGCCAAACACCGCTGGGCTTTCGCTTGGTTTAAAATGGCTGCTGCCTCGTGGTCGACATACGAACGATGACCACCCTGCATTCGGTTTAATTGAGAAGTGTCTGCGGTTAACCACAACGTTCTAATTGGGATCAATAGGTTAACCAGCAGCACACTTCTCTCCTGGGTGGCCGTCCGTTCGGCAGGTTTGTTCGGGAAAAAGAGTCATTCGAATGGCTGGGCTATAGAAACCAGTCATTCATACGAACGGGAGACAAACAGACAAATGCAATTAAAATACAAGCAGACAGATGGTTCTGTCACAGCGATTGACTCCATGGGAAGGCTATCTGGGTTAAGTCCATTCGTGTTATTAAATCTCCCGTATGGCCGGTATTCATATGCTTTTGTCGATTGAGAAGGGGAGGTCGACGGCTTCAGCGGTGTTCGGTTGAAAAAATTGTCCGTTTTTAGTTGCATGGAATAACCGTCGAACACCGCTGGGCTTTCGCATAGGTAAAATGGCCGCCGCCTCGTGGTCGACATATGAACGACGACCACCCTGTATTCGGTTTTAATTGAGAAGTGTCTGTGGTTAACCGCAACGTTCTAATTGGGATCAATAGGTTAACCAGCAGCACACTTCTCTTCTGGGTGGCCGTCCGTTCGGTAGTTCCGTTTGACAAAAAAAAAAAGACATTCCCTTAAACAAAGCATACGAACGGGAAATGCATGCAAACGGCAAAACAGACGAACACAGTACTTTTAGTCCATACAGATGGGTCTGTCACACCCCCAGTCCCGGCACTGTGTGTGGCTTCTGGAAATGTTCCCTCAGTCCCAGCACTGTGTGTGCCTTCGGAAAATGTTTCCCCAGTCCCAGCACTGTGTGTGCCTTCTGAAAATGTTTCCCCAGTACCAGCACTTTGTGTGCCTTCTGGAAATGTTTCCCCAGTCCCTGCTCTGTGTGTGCCTTCGGAAAATGTTTCCCCCAGTACCAGCACTGTGTGTACCTTCTGGAAATGTTACCCCCAGCCCCAGCATTGTGTGTGCTTTCTGGAAATGTTTCCCCCAGTCCCAGCATTGTGTGTGCCTTCTGGAAATGTTTCCCCCAGTCCCAGCACTGTGTGTGCCTTCTGGAAATGTTTCCCCCAGTCCCAGCACTGTGTGTGCCTTCTGGAAATGTTTCCCCCAGTCCCAGCACTGTGTGTGCCTTCTGGAAATGTTTCCCCCAGTCCCAGCACTGTGTGCGCCTTCTGGAAACGTTTCCCCCACTCCCAGCACTGTGTGTGCCTTCTGAAAATGTTTCCCCAGTCCCAGCACTGTGTGTGCCTTTTGGAAATGTTTCCCCCAATCCCAGCATTGTGTGTGTCTTCTGGAAACATTTCCCCCAGTCCCAGCACTGTGTGTGCCTTCTGGAAATGTTTCCCCCAGTCCCAGCACTGTGTGTGCCTTCTGGAAATGTTTCCCCAGTCCCAGCATTGTGTGTGCTTCGGAAAATGTTTCCACCAGTCCCGGCACTGTGTGTGCCTTCTGGAAATGTTCCCTCAGTCCTAGCACTGTGTGTGCCTTCGGAAAATGTTTCCCCAGTCCCAGCATTGTGTGTCTCTTCTGGAAATGTGGCTTTCCCCAAGTCCCAGCACTGTGTGTGCCTTCGGAAAATGTTCCCCCAGTACCAGCACTTTTTGTGCCTTCTGGAAATGTTTCCCCCATTCCCAACACTGTGTGTGCCTTCTGGAAATGTTTCCCCCAGTCCCAGCACTGTGTGTGCCTTCTGGAAATGTTCCCTCAGTCCTAGCACTGTGTGTGCCTTCGGAAAATGTTTCCCCAGTCCCAGCATTGTGTGTCTCTTCTGGAAATGTTTCCCCAAGTCCCAGCACTGTGTGTGCCTTCGGAAAATGTTCCCCCAGTACCAGCACTTTTTGTGCCTTCTGGAAATGTTTCCCCCATTCCCAGCATTATGTGTGCTTTCTGGAAATGTTTCCCCCATTCCCAGCATTGTGTGTGCCTTCTGGAAATGTTCCCTCAGTCCCAGCACTGTGTGTGCCTTCGGAAAATGTTTCCCCCATTCCCAGCACTGTGTGTGCCTTCTGGAAATGTTTCCCCCAGTCCCAGCACTGTATGTGCCTTCTGGAAATGTTTCCCCCCAGTCCCAGCACTGTGTCCGCCTTCTGTAGACATTGTGGTGAAAGTCGACATATTGTTGAGATTGATGGGGAGGTTAAGGACACATAATGTGTGACATGTCATGATTCCCTTTTATTCCAGAAGTTTGGTCCTTAAGGGGTTAATCATCATTAGTCGTCCACCCTATCACTGTTTTATTTCATACTTTATATGCATATTTAAACCAAATTATCTCATTTCGTCCTAGGCTGAACTGTGCTGGATCCATTTATCACATTTTTCACTATGAAGAAAACTATAACATTTGGCATTGCTTAATAAAATATCATTATGAACTGCTATCAGGATGGTTATTTTTAGATGAGTGGGATGCCCTGCTACTGATTGACGTAAACAGATACCCAAGGGATGATCTGTGACTATGGATTATGTGTGGTTGATGGTTAGGTCACTGATTGACGTACATGGATACCCAGAGAATGATCTGTGACTATGGATTATGTGTGGTTGGTGGTTAGGTCACTGATTGACGTACATGGATACCTAAGGGATGATCTGTGACTATGGATTATGTGTGGATGATGGTTAGATCATTGATTGCTGTACGTGGATACATAGGGGATGGTCTGTGACTATGGATGTGGCGGACCTACTACTGATTTGTGTGGTTCCCGCTTATAATATGTGTGTTTTCTCTGTATTTCATTTATTGTGCCCGCTCCCGTTCAGGAGTGCTTTCACAAAGGGAATTCCTTCACCTACCAAATGGGGACCACCCCAATAACCCATGTAGAATGTTAGTTTAGAAACTTAACACCTCGCAACATGAGTATTAAACCGCAAACCCCAAGGGAAACCATTATTGAGCGCTCTCTTGGGCAGCCACCATTCGTACAAATGAACACCAGCCAGGTGGAGCATTTGTGGATTGTTTCCTGTCTCGCTCGTTTCCCGAACAAGGACCTCCCCAGTGCCCCATTAGAATGTTCGAACCAATTAATCAGAACTTTCTCACTTGCAACCTAAGTGTGAAACTGCAAGGGAAGTAAATTAATGAGTGCTCCCCTGGGTGGCAGCCATTTCGTATACACGAACGCCGTCCAGGGGGAGCATTCGTACCCCAAAAGGAGATGCTTCCCTTGTCTGGGATTCACACCAGGAACTCGCTAACAGAGACTAGCCAATTGAGGGACCTAGGCAAGTATCCCTGAGATTGGTGTGGGCACTTCTGGGGCACTGGCAAGTTTTTGGCAGGCTCTCATGAGCCCGAGGGACAAAGCTGGCTTTTCTGTGCGTGGGAGCCTGCGCCTAGCCTCACAGGCACAGACGCCCTTGGGAAGAAGACAGAGATTTAGTGGCAGGCTTTAGAGGGGACTAGCTCCATTTCCTCCCAGGGACTGGACGGCACACAGTCCTGGGAGCTCTAGTCCTTACCAGGACTTTCCCCGCTGAATCCTCCATGAGCTGGAACAAGGTGCTAAGCAGTGATCATAGCCCTTTCCCCTCCAAGTAACTGGACGACACATAGCTCTGGGAGTACAACTGAACTTTATAGGAACACATACGGCTTTTATGCCCAGTGCCCTACCTGGGGTTTACAATACAAGACTGTAGTGGGACACCTGGTTGTTACCTCCGCTATAAAAGAATTGTGCGACCCATCTTCCCCAGTAACCGGACGTCACATAATTCCAGGGGTACAACAACAACTTTATTGGCCACAGGCGGCTTTATACCTTCCCCATGAAGACGATGTCCCCTCCCAGGAGTCGTACAATGAAACTGGAACCCCAGTCTCTTTGTCCCTTGTTCCTGCCACTCAGTATCTCCTCCCCCTCCCCCCCAGAGGCCTGTGCGTGGGACAGGAACTCCAGTCCATTTGTCCTCAGTTCTCTCCACCCAAATACAAGGTTTCCCGCTTCTCGTGCCAAGGGGTCTCCTTCCCAGGACCCAATACACCTGGGAGTCCCAGTGCGGGAAAGATTCCGCCATTGTCCCCAAGAGAGTGGCCCCACCAATCTCAGGGACCACCCTGCCCCCAAACGGTAACTGCTTCCGTTCGTGGGATCCCTGGGTGAAACCAGGCAAGGGAAGCGTCCTCATTCGGGACACGAATGCTTCCCCTGGCTGCCGTAAGTCTATACGAACGGCGGACACCCATGGAAACACTCATTAATTACTTCCCTTGCGGTTTCACACTTATGTTGCGATTTGCCAACATTCTAATTTATTGGAGTGAACACTCCATGGGGCGCAGGGGAGATCCTCGTTTGGGAGCTGAACGAGGTGGGAAGCAATTCGAGAATGCTCCCCCTGGACAGCGTTCATTTAACGAACGGGCCGCCACCCAGGGTTTACATGCGCCAAGGCTTCCCTTGTGGTTTGTGGTTTTCACACCTTGTTAGCGAGGTGCGAATATTGAGAGCCTGTTCATATGGAGCCTACGGAACGTGGAGCAGGTAAAACGTACAAACACAAATATAGGGGAAAAACACTAGGAATTGCACACAGCAATTCACGGACAGAAAGACAACAGGGGTTTCAATTCCAGGATCCTCTGTGCCTGAAAGATAATTGCATGAGGAAACCTCTTTAATTTAATTATCCCTCAGGTAGAGAAAAATCGACAATAATTCCAAACACCCCACAAACACATCATAATATTTCAAAAAAGGTTAATTGATTGCATGGAAGGGCAGAAGGTTTACAATCTAACTTCCTCTTTGAAGCTGGGACCCCCACAGAGCTACTCTGCAAGGTGTGAGACGTCACACAGAAGTGGCCTGGAAGTCTGGCTTTCTGTACAAACCAACTCTCACATCTGCCATAAGTCTTGATTGCCTCTTAGATAGGAAGTCCTTTGATATGGAAATGATCATTGGCTTTCAAGAACAAAAAGAAACCTTTGTGTTTCAATATCATATCCAACAAAAACATTAATACCTACCCACAGATTAATACTCAAGCCTCATCTTTATCATATCCAGAATGGGACAAGCACAATCTTCCAATCAAGCCTAAACATGAGTTGCAAACAAGGGGACCCCACAAACAATACAATGTTAAATAGCACTGACCTGAAAACAATAAGCAGGAAAGTGGGCACATGTGGGCATGCTACTCAGTGACTGCGTTCCGTTACAGATGGTTAGGTCACTGATTGCGTACATGGATACTGAGGGGATGGTCTGTGACTATGAATTATGTATGCTTGATGGTTAGGTCACTCATTGCCGTACAGGGATACCTACGTGATGATGTTTGACTAACCCGGTAATTGCGGCAGTTCAGACAACCGCACAGGCTGGGGATCGCAAGGTGAGCGGGGCCATCAGGTGGATGTGTGCTATGAGGGGCCTGGTCATACACTGCAGCACTGTAATAGTGCGACCGGACCCCTTCTAACCTAACAGCATTGTGTGTGCCCTTTGGAAATGTTTCCCCCAAACACAGCATTCTCTGTGTCTTCTGGAAATGTTTCCCCCAGTCCCAGCAATGTGTGTGCCTTCTGGAAATGTTTCCCCCAGTCCCAGCACTGTGTGTGCCTTCTGGAAATGTTTCCCCCAGTCCCAGCACTATGTGTACCTTCTGGAAATGTTTCCCCCAGTCCCAGCACTATGTGTGCCTTCTGGAAATGTTTTCCCCAGTCTCAGCATTGTGTGTGTCTTCTGGAAATGTTTCCCCCAATCCCAGCACTATGTGTACCTTCTGGAAATGTTTCCCTCAGTCCCAGCACTGTGTGTGCCTTCTGGAAATGTTTCCCCCAGTCCCAGCACTATGTGTGCCTTCTGGAAATGTTTCCCCCAGTCCCAGCACTGTGTGTGCCTTCTGGAAATGTTTCCCCCAGTCCCAGCACTGTGTGTGCCTTCTGAAAATGTTTCCCCCAGTCCCAGCACTGTGTGTGCCTTCTGGAAATGTTTCCCCCAGTCCCAGCACTGTGTGTGCCTTTTGGAAATGTTTCCCCCAGTCCCAGCACTGTGTGTGCCTTCTGGAAATGTTTTCCCCAGTCTCAGCATTGTGTGTGCCTTCTGAAAATGTTTCCCCAGTCCCAGCACTGTGTGTGCCTTTTGGAAATGTTTCCCCCAATCCCAGCATTGTGTGTGTCTTCTGGAAATGTTTCCCCCAGTCCCAGCACTGTGTGTGT